TTACCACCTTTAAGTAAACAACACAAATAAAAACGTATATCTTGAACGAAGATGTAGATGAAAGCTAATTTTTCACCATTAGTTTTTAGTGATGACCTGGATTGACCACATAATTTAGAGTTTGGGTTATTCACGGAAACGGCCAATATAAAGTAAAAGTCTACAAGACGCAGGTGGAATAACGTGTTATACTAGTACGATTGCCAATAAAATTATAATTCAAAGTCAGGATGCTTGTCTCCGTTGATAGTTGCATAATTAAAAGAAAACTTGTAATTCCAACGAAGATTTATTTCATGAAAATATTTCAACTAGCTTTTGCTAAACTTGGTCACTCCTTTAATTTGAGGAAAACAATGTAAAAAGAACAAACTAGAAACGCTTAAGAATTCAAATCAATGAAAAAACCGAGTTGATGTCATTTAGAAATAAGAGCATACGCTTTATTTTTAGAGAGGTCCATGCCTTAATCGTATCAAAGTTAGGATGATTGTCTCCTCTGATAGTTGCATAATCAAATAGTTGCATAATTATACTTTTAAAAATTATAAGTCGCTTTAAGTTTGAGAATTAATGTAAGATGCGTGTCACCAATGAGGTAAAGTCGCTACTGGCAGATAGAATGAGATACCGTATAGCTTCTCTCAAGTTTGGTTCTAGAAGGTACTGGTGGTTCTCTAAGACTGCAGTGAACAAGAGAAAATCCCCCCTCCTCCTCTCTTCAATCAAGTATTGTTATCGACTGCAAATAAAACAAAATATTTTGCTTGTAGATTCTCTTCCAATTCCACTCATCAGGAATATATTTGCTTGATTTTCCCCTAGAACGTTGTCTCGACTGAGTGATCTACACATAACTCCGCCCTAAACTAGATCCTCACAAGGCTTGCGGAATCGATGGTACCCCTTCGATTGTCTTAGGAATTGTGGGTCTGAACTGGTGCCCGTTCTTTTAAAAAATAATAACAACTTCTTGCTTTAAAGCTTGTTGGAAAGCCACGTTTAGGTCTTTTGTTTTTAAGAACTCAGGAGAACCATCTACCCGAACGTTTAGTCTTTTTGTCAATGTACTAGAGGCTCTAATCAACGCCGAATTGGTTAAGCACCTCACACGATCATTCAGATAAAAGATATGACTTCCGTTTTTCCTGATCTACAGCCGAACTCTTAACGGCTATTCTTGGATTTGTCTATCCGGCTTTAAAGAAGAACAGCGAAGTTCGGTCTGTGACTTAAGATATCGCGAAAGCGTTCGACAGGTTTTTGCATGCATTTCTTTTCCACAAGATCAGGGGTGACAGTGTCTCTAGACGAATATTTGATTAATCCAAACAAATCGTGTAATGAAGAGCGTGTCGAACGGGCACCCTTCTAGTTCATTTTATATTAATGCGGGGAGCTCTACCCAGCTCTATCCTTATACCTACATTATATTTTATCTTTACCAACGACCTTCAAGATGTCATCAGTTCCCAACTAGATATTTATGCTGATCCCACATATATTTACTCCAGTCTTAGTAGCAAATGCGACAGGCCCGATAAAGCAAAGCTGGCAGCTACTCTGGAAAAGGACCTCAAAATTTTGATTGACTAAGGCAAAGAAATTGACTTTAATTTAATCACCATGGAGAACCTTTTCTGTCTGTCATCAACATGGCTGACGTTAACCTCCAGAAGGCTAATCCTTTGCGCCATTTTGGTCTCACGTTCTTCACTGAAGTGCGGTGATTATAATGAATCAGTTGTTAGGTCTACGGTTAGGAAAGCTGGTTCACTGTTTCGTGCCAGGCAGTTTTTCATGTCAGAATCCATTTTGCGCATTTATAAATCTACCGTCTGTGCACGGAATATTGCTGTCATATCGGGATCAGTCACTTATGCACTTAGGCGATCATGCATCTTTCGAAACATGACAGATTAGGCAGATTTTTTTTCCCGCAGTAGGTTGTCATTTCTTTCTGCGGTAAACCAGTAGCCATCCAAGGCTATAGAACCAGGTCTATCCTGCAGTGGCAGAGAAGAAAATGATTCATACCTTTCCTAAGGGTGTAATGACGCTAACCTCCACAAGAGCAATCCTTTGCGCCATCTTGGTCCCACGTTCGTCACTGACGTGAGATGGAGTGATTATAATGAATCAGTTGCAAGGTCTACTGCTAGGAAGGCTGGTTCACTGTGTCGTGCCAGACATAATGACATAGTATTTATTAGCACGTAAGTGAATATATTGTATTCGACTGGAATTCGAACTCGGCTCTCCGATTCTCAATCCGAGCCGCTATCCATTACCCCACCGTGCCTCCCTCGGAATACTTGAAAAAATTCAAAGAAGAGTCTGTAATGTAATCGATCCTGATTTGATAAATCGACTTTAGTCACTTTCTCACCGACGTGATATGGCTTCCTTTTGTCTTTCTACAAATATTTTCGTCGCAATTGTTCTGATGAGCTTTTCTCCTTGGTGTCTCGACTGCATGAATTTAAACCTGATACTAGATTGGTGACAATATCTTACCGTTTCACTGTACAAATTGCTGTATAGAACCGTAAGTTCTATTCTAATAGTTTCTTTTCTCGCACTCCTGGTTTGTGGAATTCCCTTCCGATTATTTGCTTTCCTGCCAAGTACAATCTTCAAAATTTAAATGCAATTCCAATTTTCTTTTAGGATAATAATAATTTTTCATATATAATTTCTACTATTTAACTATTAAGCGGGGCATGCGAGGAGAGACATTTATAGGTTTCCCGGAGGTATTTGTACGTAACGAACTTTATGGAATTCAAACATGGTTTTCCTGTCTCACATTTCGAGCCACTATCTGTTACACCACCCGCACATCTCTGGGTATAATAATAACATCTATAACAAAGACGATAAGAACAATTCGAATAAGTCAAACTATACTGAATGTGACTATGCTAAAAATTAAATATCTCTCATAGAAATTAACGCTTCTTTTATCTCTTGGTTATGTACTAATTGATCTATTTACATCGAACAATTCATTATAACCAGACTGCATTTACACTTTTGTGCAAATTAATTGAAACAACCGCTTTAGTTTTCCTTCTTTCACAATCCGGTCAATTTTAGACCCACTGAAGTGACAAAGTGTAATCGATTTCTATTTTTTCTTCAGATTAAGTCATTTGCAGTAGTGTGCAGTAATATAAATTTAATTTCGTGGTGTATGACGAAATTTGGCCTTTAAAAATATTGCGTCATCCGTGATTGCATCAGATTTTTATCACGCCCAAACACTATTGTCTCGACTGTCGATTAGTTGTCCTACGGCCATTGTCTGCGATAAACGTTACTCCAAGGAAGCGTACGAAAATTGTAACGCTGCACAAACACACTGGAAAGCCTTACCAGTGATCAAATCAAAGTCGTATATATTGGTCCGGAAAATCTCGTGATTTAAATTTAATCGATAATCTGTGGTCAATCTGCAAGGAATGACTTCGTGGAATGGACATACGAAGTACTAACATGTGCACTGGTTCTACAGAAAGATGTTGAGGATATCATGGCACGAGCGTGTGAGCAACGATGAGGTCTTAGAGATGATGTAAACAAGGAGGAGGCTTATACTTAACATCAGGAAGAGGCAGCTGAAGTTCCTGGGACACATAATGAGAAAAAGGGGCCTGGAGAATCTGATACTCACATGTCGAATAGAGGGAAAGAGAGACAAGGGAAAATTACGCATGACATACCTAACGGCCTTAAGCAAGTGTATGGCAGAACGTGGTCTCAGGGGGTGGCAGAGGGAAGGAACTTGTTGAGAGCTGCAAAGGATAGAGCGAGGTGGAGAGCCATGATCTCCTACGTCCTGAAAGGACACGGCTCATAGAAAGAAAAAAGAACTTGCGTATATTCACTTTTTCTAATTTATAGTACCTTAAATTTGAAAAAAAATGAAAACATTTCCAACTGTTTGGATGATTCGTATTGTCTAAAAATAAGTGTTGTGCAGAAAAAAATGTTTTGTAACACAAATAAAGGGTTTGGTTAGTGATTTTATTTTTATACATTAGTTAGTTTAGAGCAGTTATTATTTACTTTCGGTCACACCTTCCGGAATATTGTGACACAGCTGGTCGGAAAAGGTTAATATTTATTTGTCGTGTATACTACGCACCCCTGACTGTTAAGCTTTAAAATCCGCAAAAGAGCGTATTATACGTGAAAAATTACGGTATAAATACATTTCAATTTCGCACAAAAAACATGCTAAGTTATAGTGATTTTCTAAGCATAGCTTAGATATGACACAAGGCCGAAAGTATGGGGTACCCAGTGAGGATCGAACTCACTTTTCAGTAGTAACAGATCTAGCAAGACAAGCTTACTAACCATTACACCACGTCGAAGTGCCCGAATATAGTGATTTTTCAAGCGTAGCTTAGATGTGGTAAAAGGTCGAAAGTAGGGACACCCAGTGAGGATCGAACTCACTACTCAGTCGTAATTGTTCTAGTGAGAACAAGTTTGCTAACCATTACACCATCTCGACGTGCCCAAAAACATGTTAAGTTATATGACCACGATTTTTCCTGTCACAAAGACGTGCTCTTATTCATTGAAGTGTACGTGGCTCTTTTTAGTGACCCCCATGAGAAAAGTCCGAAGCGGTGGTGCACCTTTTGGCGAGTAGGAAGGGGACATTCTATTTTGCTGAAAAGAAAATATATTTGTTATCGTACTATTATGTTGAACTATTATAAACATTAATATTTTATAGTCCCTTATCCTAAATGACCACCAATTGATGGATTTCTATAACTTGCATCGTGAATAATTTTATCTAAAAATCTTATAAAAATGTACTCAATGAATTATCCCTTAACTCTAGAGAGACGCTCCACCCAAGTACGCGTCAGAATCGTTAACTCTTGATCGGATCATTTTTTAAGGGTGTTCTGTGCTTTATTGGCGCCAGTGTCATTTCCAGACATTTTTAACGCGGGCTAATCTTGAGCACATTTCAGCGTAAGTTTGTCAGTGCCTACTGCTGAGTGGGTGATATGTGGTCGCTTAATTGAGAGGCTAGAGCTATTCCTCCTCCTGTGAAAACTATGGTTGTATATTTTCGCCAAGCTGACACGAGAGAGAGAGAGAGAGAGAGAGAGAGGGAGAGAGAGAGAGAGAGGGAGAGAGAGAGAGAGGGAGAGAGAGAGAGAGGGAGAGAGAGAGAATGAGAATGAGAATGAGAGAGAGAATGAGAATGAGAGAGATAAAGAGAATGAGAGAAAGGATGAGAGAGGGAGATGGGTAATGAGTTTCTTTATAAACCTGATGTAGAGATCTACCATTATTTAAAAGTTACTTCGAATGTAGATATTTCTAACAGAAGCGGTCATTTTTTTTTTTAAATATCTTTATTCCAGGAGAAGGAGGCACGGTGTAGTAATGGATAGCGGTTCGGATTGAAAAATCGGAGAGCCGAGTTCGAATTTCAGTCGAATCCATTACATTCACTTACGTCGTAATACCCTAGGGCAGTGGTTTTCAATCTTTTTGCTGGAGCGGAACCACAAGGAAACATTCCAGTGGCTCAAGGAACCCTTGCAATAAATTAATTGTCTTATGCAAAAAAAAAAGCTTTCAATTATTAAAATAAAATAAAAATACTCATCTTCAGATTTATTTACAAAAAAATACAAAGACAAACTGTAAAAATATTGTATACGTACATATGCAATTTTAATCTTGCTTCTACGGTGATTACACACTAGCGTAGAGCCCGGCGTTGCCCGGGGATGTAACAGTAAGAGATAGATCAAGTATCGACCATCATAAAGACTGAAAAATAAAATTGACAAAGATTATTGTTTAAGGTTGACGGACACGCATGTCTTAATTAGTTTTTTTTGTTTGTTTGTTTTTTGTTTTTTTTACGAATTGGTCAAACCCAAACTCAAACAAAAAACATTGTTTTCAATCGTTATGAGTCTACCGATTGAATAGAATTTTATTATTTGTATTGTAAATGGAATTTTTAAAGCATTCTGTATGTAAAAATAAAGAAAAAAGTGTGCAAGACAATAAGAAACACTACCTGCCAAAAAAGTGAAGTTTTGTTGAAATCGGTTGAAAAATGTAGGAAACCCGATCCCATATATAAACGAACACACACACACACACACACACACACACACACACACACACACACACACACAACCTGGGTTTTATAATAAGTATAACTCGATATGAGTTATCTCCCTTTTATTTTGGCAACAGAATCGTGTTTTATCGTGTTTTCAAATTGATTCGTGCAAAAACAATTGTGTTTTTCCAATTTTTGGCGCCGTCAGAACCACCGCAAGGTAATTTTACGTAGTCCTGTGAAGTTTTGTTGAAATCAGTTGAAAAATGTAGGAAATCCGATCCAATATATAAACGCACACGCACACACACACACACACACACACACACACACAATCTGCGTTTTATAATAAGTAAGATGTATTAAAAAACTTCAGTTTAAATGGATTACATTTATTTTCATTAAAAATTCAATGAGAAACTTGAGCCTGATGTTTCTTGCACAAATCTTTAATATTGAGCCGTGTTTTTGACAGACACACACGAAGTTCATCTTCCACACATATCTGCACAGGAGAATTAAAAATTACTGTCCATCATAGTACTTGTGTAACTATTTGGGGAACCCCTAGACTTTACTGGCGAAACGCTAGGGTTCCACGGAACCCTGGTTGAAAACCACTGCCCTAGGGGAAAGGTACCAATCCTCTTCTCCCTATGGGTTAATCGCAGAACAGACTGGGTTCTATAGCAGAAAGAAATGGCAACCTACTGCGGGAAAAAAATCTGCCTAGTTAGTCGAAAGATACACGATCGCCTAAGCGTGTATTACGCATAGCATATAACTGATGAAAGGAATATGCGTATGTCTCTTGTGCCATTTAATATATACCTACACATACACATAATGTAATTATGTTTGAAATAAGATATTGGAATTCTCCCCCTACAGTATAAATTGTTTGTTCATTTAAAATATTGCTTTTATTGGAGAATATATTTAGTTTCATTACTGGAATTATAAAAATTATTTAAAGGACCGTCAAATTTCATATTTCAGCTTTTTTCCTAGGGTTTCTTTTCCAAATTGAAAAAAGGAAATTAACATCTGCGACACAAATGTCCAGTGTCTGTGTATACGGCTGTGCGTGCTAATATGTATTTTAATTTAATGCCAGCGTTAACAACATAGAAAATCTTTAAACATCTTTAAAAAATAATTCCATTTATCAACAAACAAATGACGAAAAGTTCAACAAAACTCTGTAATTATCTGCTTGTTTTATTGTTTAAAAAAAATATTTTTTTCTTCTTTTTGTTCACATTTTTTAAATATATTTTGCTCCGCTTTGGGTAGGGATTGTCCAGTCAGAGTAGGAGGGGGGGTTCCAATGTCTTATTTCAAACATAGTCACATTATGTGTATGTGTGTGTATGTATTAAATGGCACATACACATGTATATCGCTCATGCAGGACAGAGACATACGCATATTCCTTTCATCAGTCAGTTATGTGCCATGCTTGATATACGCTTAGGCGATCATGTATCTTTCGATACATGACTGGCGAGGCAGATTTTTTTCTGGCAGTAGGTTACCATTTCTTTCTGCGGTAGATCAGTTGCCATCCAAGTCTGTAGAACCCGGTTTGTCCTGCTATTTACCCATAGCTGGTGTATGGGGGGGGGGAGTAGAAGAATAGGATTCGTACCTTTCCCAAGGGTATTATTAGCACGTAAGTGAATGTAATGGACTTGACTGGAATTCGAACTCGGCTCTCCGATTCCTCCATCGTATGCGTCTAAAAAGTCATACGCAAACAATGTATGACGGACAAAGAATCAACCCTTTTTTTATCATGACACCTACTATAGCACAATGGTTACTAAGTTTATTTCGTAGACCAATTCTGAGTGACCTTGTTCCGCACTGAGTGGCTTTGCGACAGACAAATCTAAGCATAGTAATTGAATACATTGAAATTCTGGGTGGTGTCGTAAGCTACGACGGAAAATACGACAGAAGTTCGAAGATACACTGGTAATAATAGCTGTTTCCCTATAAGGAAACATTCAGCATTCATTGATCAGTGTGCTACTGTCGGTTAGAATTCATAAAATCTTCCTATTAAAAACAACTTTTCTGGAAAATAGGTTTCGTAAGTCCAGTATCTGTTATCGCTCTTTCTAGTAGTGATGGGGGTTTCTTTCCTAACCTTTTGTTTGAAGTATTGTAAAATGTCAACATCTTGATTTCGTCATGTGTTTTTCTTTTCGAGTTATACATGTTATCCATTCTATTTGTTGCTGCTGTTGGTAATCCTCAAATCATGTGGTTTCTGTTATTTGGTACAGTTTTCTATGATTGTGTAGCGCCAGTCGACAAAGTTCATAGAAGGATGATCCTCTCTATGACCAACAGGTTTCATTCGTTCGTAACAATTTTTAATCATCGTTCTGAGAAGGCGGTTGTACAGTTTAGACATTACTGAACGTGTTGGGCGCCATGCGAGGCTATTTAAGAAGATGGCTCGAGTTGTTAAGTTAATTTAGCAATATGGGAGCGATGGACAAAACTACGCCTATCTCAGCCTATTCTATGTTCACCGTCCTTATCTCTTATACTATATTTGTTGTAAATGATCTATAAACGGAGCTATGTAAAGTGTTTAATATTTAGTAATTGTACATCATGAATGTCATGGTGGGTTCAGAGTAGGTGCCATCACTAGTTTCATTTCAATTCCAAATTATTGCTGTGACCTGCAGAGGTTTGCTGATGTTTGGTAATGCCCAGGGTCAACTCGTTGATTGTATGTCCCCAATACTCAAATAGTGGGAGAGGCTATAGGGTTTAGTATTGAGAAATGTGAGAAAAGAAGACATTTGAAATATGTAAAAACTGATGAAACGTGGAATAAACACTTTATTCAAATTAAATATAAACTACATTTTTATTTGACTCTTTGATAGGCTGCACCCCCCCGATATGGCCGTCGCACCCTCTGTCTCGCCCTTCCGCACGCTAGTGGATTATAATTTGTTTTACAAAGATTTATCTTGAGTGCTCTTTTTTCGCTCTTTTTTGGCACACTTAATAGAGAATTTTGATTTTTTGTTTAAGATTATTATCCCGATATAATGCTTGCTTCTTTAATTCGAAAGTTTAGCTAATTTACCGTTCAGAAGGAAAAAATATCTAAGAATTACATTGTGATATTATGAAAATGGAATTGTGTGTTCGACTTGTAAAATACATAAAGAAATGCCAAAATAAATTAGTTTAGTCTATTAATTTTAATTTTTTTTTTTAAAGAAGTTTGTCTTATATCAACACATCTTTTTGCCTGAAAAAACGATATGAATTTCATTTCAAGCTTGAAGAAACAGAGACATGCTCAAAATTAACTTCCAAAAAAATTGTTGTAATTCCTTTTTAGCGGCCTGCCTTTCGATCAACCGTTACCAAATAAATATAAAAGATTAAGCAATAAAATGAAATTACGCATAAAAAACCCCAGTTAGGACGTTCTAAAAGTAATCCTTATCTATCATCTTGTTTAGGTACCTCCCAAGATTTGCTAAAAAAGGAGTATACATGATGAAAAAATACCTCAAAGTTTTATCGTCAAAATCTTTGTTATTAAGAGGAAAGACCAATGGACTTTTTGAGTATCAAATTACATTTTTTAATCCTTTTTACAACCTTATAAATTTTTGGTTATTTTTTTTTCTCTTGCGTCAGCAGGTGACCATAAATTAGTATTAGAAAAGTTAGCATCTTTGATTTGGAAATTCTTGCAAAAAGCAAATAATTGAAAGATTTTAATGAAATATGTTTCCTTTTTATAAATCCTGGTGAAAACATTTTTTCTCTATCTCTTATCCCAAACTTATTTAAGTTTATGAAATCCTTTGGTGGGGCCCAAGGTTTATATTAGTCATAAGCTAATATCTTTGGAGAATTTAAATTATTATTTATTTATTTATTTTTTTGTAAAACAAGACCCCTAGTTACCGAAAAT